CTACGGAAGTTGCCTCCGCTGGTCGTCCTGTCACTGCTTGTTCATCTGCTGCTAATGCAGTTCCCACTGTTGCGGTTCCCACCGCCGCCGCTTCCACCGCTGTGGTCTCCACTGCTGCAGTTTCTACCACTTCCTGATTGCGTCTTTCTTGAGCAACCTGCGAAGGGGAGCGGCGATAGTGGAAAAGTTCCTCACGAACTTTCTATAATAATTATCTAGGCCTAGAAACAACCGCAACTCTGTCACCGTGCGCGGCGTCGGCCAATCTCTAATCGTCGCTATCTTGCTATCGTCTGGCTTAATGCCATCTCCGTCTAAGACGTGGCCCAAGTACAAAACTTGTGTCTTGGCCCACTCGCACTTCTTTGCATTGATCTTGAAGTTAGTCTCCCTCAACTTCTTCAAGACCTGCCTCAAATGACTCTGATGCTCTTGGAGGGTCCTACTGAAAACCAATATATCATCTAGGTAGACTACAACAAACCTATCTAACCAAGGCCTAAATAAATCATTCATACAACCCTGGAATGTGGCTGGGGTATTGGTCAGTCCAAAGGGCATTCCGATGAACTCATAGTGCCCATATCTAGTCCGAAAAGCAGTCTTGTACCGGTCATCAGGATGAACTTCTATCTGATGATATCCGGATTTCAAATCTATCTTTGAAAAATACCCACAACCTTGCACTCGATCTAAGAGATCATCTATCCTGGGCAGTGGCTCAACATTCTTCGCTGTAATGGCATTCAGACCCCTATAATCGATACACATACGTAACTCTCCCTCCTTCTTGGGGACAAACAAAATTGGTGCTCCAAAAGGAGACGAATTGGGCCTAATCAACCCTTTTCGAGGAGTTCGTCTAACTGCTTACGGAACTCCTCTAACTCTCTTGGGGACATTCTGTAAATCGCACCCTTAGGAGTTCTACTGCCAGACTCTATCTCTATACGGTGCTGGATCGGCCACGACACTACTCCTGTCGGCGGCTTTGCTAAGTCTTTAAACTCTTCCAGTAGCTTGGCAATAGTTGGGTCCATTGGCTTGTCCTCTTTAGGTTCGGTGATAAGCTTCACGTAGGCTATGAAGACCTGCTCTTCTAACTGCTCCTTTTTAACTAATCGCGCGAACGCGGGAGCACTGAGACAACAATGTGCCAGGGAGTTATCCACTCTTGACACATGATACACGCGAACAGTCTTAACTTCGCCTGATGGACTAGGGAGCCTACACTCATGCTCTCTCAAGCGGAGTGTGGCCCCTGCTAACTCTCCCCAGTCCATACCTAGGACTATGTCAAAAGGGAGGCTATCCTCTACGAGGAGAGTCATAGAGTGGAAAACTTTCTCCACCTTGCCATCTTTCTCTAAGCGCAGATATGCCTGAACTCCCTCAACATAATCCTCAACACGCATAGTGCGGTTGTCTGCGAGGATATTGACTATGGGGTCTTCCAACTTTTGAACTTCCAAGCCTAGCCTTAGCTTCTTTAGCGCTCTGCGACTAATATAGCTACGGGTAGCCCCCGAGTCTATGAAGGCCCCTACTCTACTTCTAAAAGCTTCTAAATCTACCAAGACAAGTTGTCCTTTACTCGCCTTCTTCATTTTGGCCCAAGTCGGCATCCTCTCTTTCAACTCTTCTGCCAGACGTGCGAGGGAAGTGCCTAGAAAGACTCTAACACAGGTAGTCTCTTGACAACTAACTAGGCACTGGGCTGCAACCTCTGCCATAGACTCGTGTGGTATGGGAGTTTCCTGGTGGTGCGTGCTCACTTCCCCACATGGCCTAATGGCAGGGGCAGTTGCAACCCCTACCGACGGCTGCCTTTTGACACCTAGGAAGCAAATCGGGCTTCCCTATACTCTGGACAATATGTAATGATGTGGGCAGGATCACCACAATAGATGCACTGCCCCTGCTCTATCCACTGTTGCCACACTCTCTGGTCCAAGCCCAGATCCTCCCAAGGCCGGCCTTGTGGCCAACCTGGGTGCCAACCTCCTCTCTGTTGAGGTGATCCTCCACCTCTTCGTTGTGGTGATCGACTGGGCCACGAGCGATTTGGCGGGGACCTTGACCCCTACCTCCCTCTTGGCAGTTCCCTTGACCGCCAACCCCCTGTGCACCCGGACCTCGACCACCCATGGCCCGACCCCCTTGGCCCTGGCCTCCTCTACCTTGCAGCCCCCCTCCAGTCGTGGCAGCAGCGTACGTCCTCCCCTGGCCTACACTACTGTCTTCCTCCTCTAGCCCCCACTCTATGTGGCTGTAGGGGACTTCGTCAGTACCACCCTCATCTAAAGTAAGGATTAGGTGATCCTTAGCCCTGACCTGTCCTGAGATAGTACGACCCTTCCACTTCTTTCCCTTATCTAAATCCTTGCGCTAGAAAGTGGAAACTGACATGGATTTGGCTTCGAACAGGACCACCTCTCTACTCGATGCATCAAACGTGGTGGTGGTCTGTTGGGTCTTTTCAAAGAAATGCCCTCGTAAGGGCTCTGGCATGGCACGATAAAATAAGTTAACAAACTGGGTCTCAGTGACCCCGTGGTCTGGGATGGCTACCAAATCATCCATAACTGCTTTGAGTGCTCTCACACTCTTCCATTGTCGTGAGTGGATTGTCTGCAGTTTATCAGAGGCCCGGACGCCTCGCGTGACGTCAGCGAACTTCTCTCTCAGGAGTTTGAGAAATTTGGGAAGAGGGGTGAGCTTGGAGTATGCAACGAAATTGTGTTCACAATCGGTTGCTCGCACGAGGGACCTAGCAAAACTGGCCGCTTCGTCTCGTAATGCGTGGAAGGCCACATGACTTGTTCCTCTGACGCAATGTGCTGCAAATACACGTACGTGTTGATACTGGCCTCCCAGTTATCGAAGTTCTCGTCCTTTTTCCCGCCATAAGAGTTAGGAAACTTTAGCTTGACAAGCTCTTTGCGGGGATGCGCCCCAGGCTTGACAGGCTCTTTGCGGGGACGCGCCTCGGCCTCTGCAGCGGCCACTACTTTGGCGGCCTCAGTGGCGCCTACACAGAATTTCTTTGCGTTGTCCTTTGGCTTCCTAACTTTTGTTGTCCCAACATGTGTCATTACATCCCGCACGAAGTCCTTGAAACCAGACCGGATGGAGTGGAGGGCCATATCTTGGGCCCTAACAGATTGATGATGTTCGGTTCAGGCCCTGCCTAGGATCTCGATGCTCCCAAGGATCTTGTCTAATTTAGCCTGAATGTCAGGCTGGGCCTCTACTTCTTGTCTACATGTTTGTAAACCTTCCACTTCTCTGGCCATCCTGTTGGCTTCCTATGTTCTCCTCTTCTTCTCCCTTGCCAGGCGCAACTTCCAGTCCAACCTCTTCTCATTTTCTATGGCCTGGTGTTCTAGAGGATCGCTTGTCGCCTTGATCTCCCTAATTGCTGCTTCCTTCTCCTCCTGAGGTATATACAGCATTGCCTCCTCGTCTTCTCCCAATGATAAATTTGCCACCCATTCAGATATCCTCTTTTCCACCCACGGGTCATCCTCCTTCGTGCCACTGCTTCCTTCTCCTTCCCCCAGTCTTCTCCTTCTGAGGGGCTCTTCTTCGGGCTGCGCCTCCTCTTCAACCTCTTCCTCTACCGCAGCCGTCATTCTCTCCTCCTCTTCTTGTTGCAATTTTTTCATCTCCTCCTCCAACTTCTTCTTCTTCGCCGCCTGCTCCTCGGCCAACATCTTCATCTTTGCCTATCTAAGGAGCTTCTTCTTCTCTTTTCTCTCTCTGAGGATGGCGGCGGCCGGCTCCTCTTAAGCCTTACTATACAGCATGGTGCTCTTCCCGCTGCGAGTGTCAACCATGGTGATAAGTGCACAACTGGACAACAATTTGAAACCTCACCACTTAGACCTCGACACCTAACTGATTGGACCTAGACTCAATCTAGAGGACCACAAAATCCAAGTAGGATGTTGTCAACTAGGGTCTCTAGCCTGGACCTACTCTAAGGCTATCACTACAGGACTTATTGCTGATCAGGAGGCATTTAAGGAGATCCTCCGTAACTCCTCAGGAATTATTTAACGTCGCAAACAGGACGACGCGATCAACAAGTCCTCTCAAGACTTAGACAGCGTGTTGTGCAGCCCACAACTCGGATTTTGGGCCTACCGTGCCACACCGAGCAGCCCGCCGGTCAGTACCGGTCCTTGGGAGGGTTCGTGTCCTCCGGGATAGTCGAGTCGTCAGACACGACCTTTAGCCCTACTCAGCCCTTGTGGGTTTGGTCAACAAGGCTTTATCCTTCATACACGGAGTTCATATCACCTGGACAGAAGAGACTCAATGCAGAAAGAAGAGACTGATAGACTCAGCAAGTACGATAGGGTGAGTGCACATCGATAGGGCGAGGGGATAGGCTAAGGACTTGGCGAGAATATACCAACTCCAGCTTGGTCAAATTCGCAGTCAACAGCCTTGGTCAACGTTGGTCAAATCTCGGGTCAACGTTGGTCAAATCTCGGGTCAGCGCTTCGGTCAACGTTGGTCAACGTTGGTCAACGTTGGTCAACGTTGGTCAACGTTGGTCAACGCCCAAGTCAACTTTGGTCAACCTCGTGGTCAACACCTTGGTCAACCTCCAACTCCGCTATGGCTGCCGCTTTCTTCTTCCTCACCACCCTTCTTCCTCCTTTATTTCTCCTTCCTCGCCTTCATCTTCTTTCACCCCGGCTATGTCTTCCCTCTTCTTCTTACCGGTACCGCTGACTGCATGGGATTGCACTGCCAACTCGATGCAGTCGCACTGCCGACGTAAAGCAGTTGGGCTCACCACTTGCCCACTTGCCTCTGTCCAAACGTGAGACAACTTCGAAAGGCCACTTCCGGACCTTCCGAAAGTCTACGGGCTTGGCCTTTCGAACACTGTAGCAGCTACGACCTTGACCTTTCAGGACTGTAGCAGCTACGAATTCGACCCTTCAGAAGAGCTACAACTACGACTTCTAGAACTCACTAAGACCTCTATCCGACAGGTCTACAGATCGAACCCCTACCACCTATGGACCTACAACAGCCTACCAACTGCAGCATATATCATATCATCCATTCTGAATAGCGAGCATAGGGATCTGTTCTATAACTACGTATCCTTGAATTTCGACTATAATTTATACATGTCTCAAGTAAAGTTCTATCAGGGTTTTCTAATCTTGGAACTCGAAAACTTCAGAACCTCTCCGTTAACTAGTTTGTCGCTTCTTTTAAATTGGTGATATGTGCACGTGGTGGGAGCTGCCAAAAGTTGATTGGCGCAAGGGGCAGGGGAATAATTGTAATAGTCATAGTGCTGCTCTGCAGTTTCTTCAGTGGGTTGTTCTTTAAAGATGTAGGGTGTTCTGGGGGGTTATTGCATAATGTTGAAGAGGCCGTGCTTTTCCAAATTGCAATTGACATTTTGGTAAGTGTGTCATTCATAACTGTAGTCGACTAGATCGGATTGTTCCCGGAGGGCTGAACGGTAAGAAGGGGGTGGGGGGAGCTCTATCTTGCAGGGGCATCACAAGGGGGAGGGTGAATGTCTCAAAGAGGGTAGGGGCGGAGTAGGGGGTTGCCCTATTCTGGGGCAGGGGCTGGTGTGTGGGTCAACATCAGTCCCAGCGGAGGCAGAAATGGGCAAGGGGTGGGGGGCCATGCTTTAGGTGGGAACTGCGTGCTCCTGGGGAAAATGGGGTAGAGGGTTGGTCCTATATTGGGGCCGAGGGAGAGCGGGAGCCTCGCCTCGGCGGAGGCAGCGTAGTGCTGAGGGGTGAGGCGTAGGGGGAGGGAGTGGCGATCTATCTTGAAGAATTATAACATCCGGTTTAGTATTTCTTTTCATTTGGTTCACCTCTCGAGGAGGTTGTAGGAATAGGTGATATCTGGCGAATCATCTTTTATCGTGCATACTACAATGCGTAGGGTGGTTGAAAATTCGGTGGCCCTCGAAGACCGATGCTGGAGCAACGCTGGTCGGAGCCGGAGCCAGGCGGCGCAACTCTGTGACCTAGCTTAGTGGGGGGTGTGAGGCCTGGTAGAGAGATCTGGGGGGCTGTTTGCGGGGGCAGTTTCAGTGGTCATCGGGGGTCATAATTGAAGCAATGCTGGCCGGTGTTTGAGCAAGGTGGTGCAACTCTGTAAACTAGCCTGATGGGAGCATGAGGCCTGGAAGAGCTTTGGTTCGTGCTGAAAACAGCCATGCTGGTGGTGGTCGAAGGTGGATTGATTAGGTTTCACCTATCTGATTCGTGGTTGGGAGGCTTGTTGACACACATTTTCTGAATGTTTTTGAGTTTTCCTTTTTCTTTAATTGTTCTTAGCCGAAGCCGGGTAATGGCCTTGGTAGTTCATTTTTGTATTCTGATGAGGGACACTGGGCCCGGTTCCCTGCCGTGTTGCTCCCCACGAATAGATTGGAGCATCGTCTCAACACGTTGGTTAAACGGGGTAGTGCAGCAGCAGGGTTATGGTTAGAACTTCTCTGCGGAGGGGTTGAGGTTGGACGATGCCAAAGTGGCCAGCATACGGGACGGGCCCAGAGCTCAGACTGTTACTGAGGTCCGATCATTTTTGGGGATGACGGGCTACTATCATCCGTTTGTTAAAAACTATACTCGACACCCCTTGGGAGTGGACTGAAGAGTGTGAAGCGGCCTTCAAGAAATTGAAGTATGCGTTGACGCACTACGAAGTCCTCAAACTTTCGGATCCTGAACAACCCTTTGTTGTGACCACAGACGCCAGCCAATATGGCATAGGCGCGGTCCTTGCGCAAAAGGAGGGGAAAAAGTTGAGACCGACCGAGTATATGAGTAAGAAGATGCCATCACAAAAGCTAGCAAAGTCTACGTATGAGCGTCAACTCCATGCCCTATATAGAGCGCTGGTCCATTGGAGACATTATCTCCTAGGCAGATTCTTCTACGTGAGATCTGACCATGAGACCTTGCGCTGGATCAAGACATAGCTTGTGCTCTCTGGCGCACTCAAGCGATGGATACAAGTGATAGACATGTATGACTACCAACTTGATCCAATCAAGGGAAGGTACAATAAAGTGGTTGATGCACTATCTTAGCGGGCAGATTATCTGGGCGCGCTAGTCACTGATTTTGGCATATCTGACGAACTCACTCGATCACTGGTGGAAACCTATCAAGAAGATCCAGTTTTGTCTGAGATCATTCACAAATTGGAGGCTAAGGATAAAGCCACCTCCGATGAGTTTGTGCTGGTCAATGGATTGTTGTTACTTGATAAGGCAGGAAATAAAAGATTGTGTGTTCCAACTAGTGAGTCTTTGCGTAGTTTATTTCTAGGTGATTGTAATGATGCAACTGGTCATTTTGGCTATAGGAAGACATCAGCTAACCTAGTACAGAGATTCTGGTGGCCAACTATGATGCAAGATGCCAAGAGGTATGTTGAAACCTGCCACAGGTTTGCCAACGGGACAAACCTACGACTCAGGCTCCGCTCGGGCTCATCAAGCCCTTGCCGATTCCTGAAGGTCCTGGTCAGAAAGTGTGAATGGACTTCATGGATACTCTTGTGACCAGCAGGTCCGGGAAAAGGCACATCTTCGTTATAGTAGACCGTTTTTCCAAGTATGCCAGACTAATTGCTATGCCAGAAACTGCTAAGACTAACTACGTCATCAGACTATTTATGGAAAACTGGGTATGGGACTTCGGCCTACCCAAGTCTATCGTCAGTGATAAGGATGTTCGTTTTACCAGCGAACTGTGGCAAAACACAGCCCAGCAGATGGGAACCAGACTACAGATGACATCAGGGAACCACCCTGAGTCAAATGGACAGGCGGAGCAAATGAACCGAGTAGTACAGCACTTGCTACGACATTACATTAAGCCAAGCCAGGATGACTGGGACGAGAAGCTACCACTCGTCGCCAGCCTGTACAACAATGCTGTGCACAGCTCTATCGGCAAGACTCCCAACCAACTGCATCTTGGTTGGAAGCCCAGATCCGCCCTTGATTTCCTCCTACCTGAAAATCAGGTAACTGCAGCACCGGGCAGCATAGAGTTCGCTGTCAGATACGAACAGATGCTGCAACAGGCCGTTGAACACATTAGAACGTCTCAAGATGCTATGATTGCATCTGAGAACAAACACAGACGGCCTGCTAATTTTCAGATAGGAGACAGAGTCTGGGTCAAGTCATCTGAACCGGGACAGGAAGTTGGAATCTCTAGAAAACTAATGCCACAGTATTTCGGTCCGTGGGAGGTCCTAGACATAGTGGGAGATCAGGTAGACGGACCCTCCTATGTGATTCGCATCCCACCACACCTACGCACACATCCTGTTTTCCATGTCTCAAAGCTGGCACGTTTCGCAGAGTCTGCACAGTTCCCTTCCAGACGGTCAATGCTGCCCCCAACCATGGATAGCAAAGGGGACATCGAACAGATCGTGGAGCATCGTGTGATGCCTGTTCCTCGACCACCGGGCAGAGGCCGCCCTCCTAAGCCAAAAATGCAATACCGGGTCAGATTCAGACATCATTTGGATCCCAGCGAAGATCAGTGGTTCACCAGAGAAGAACTCATGAGAACTGCACCTCAAGTCATTGCAAGCTACGAAAAAGATCTCAAAGGGAAGATGCCTGCAGAATAAGAAGACTTCTCAGAGGACTATCGAAGTACAGGATGAGAGAATGCGAGGGTCTGGGTCCTCGGCACGCCTAAGGGCCCCCTGTTGCATACATGCCCGCCCTAAGTGAAGGCGGGCCTAACAAATCAGGAGAGGCCCTCGACTGTCAATTTCGTATGTGGGGGTCCAGACAGTTGCGATGCGCCAATTTGTTAAGGGAAATACAGGCCGAGCAACATAGACATTCCACGACCTTCTAGGCCTTTCCAAGAATGCAGACCCTGGGCGAGAATCGCAGCCTCATACACTCACAGTTGTGAGGCCCAACCAAAAGAGGCCCAGCAGCTGCAACACAAGCGCAGCATCCTGGGGCCTATCGGAAGCTTCTGGGCCCAGGCCAGTCCAGCCAGGCTGCGAAGGCAGGAGGCTCTTTCCATATAGGAAAGAGCTCGCCACCGGCAGCCTCATTCAGGCACTCGCATGCTAGCGGCAGCGCTGCTGGAGCGGACGCTCGTGGGCTGCTGCTGGCGCTGAGAGGCGAGGTGCTAGCACGTGCGGTCGTGCAGGGAGCAGGGCGCAGCTGAGGGCAGCGCCATAGCCCAGCCTCCGTAGCTGGTTGGGCTTGGACTACAGTGAGACTCAGGGGTGGTCTTCGGGTGTACAGAGGGAAGACGTGGAAGTAAGACGGGAGAGAGAGAGAAGGATGATGATGATGATGATGATGTGAGGGCACATACCTGGTATTGGCGATGGTCTGCATGGGCGACATCTTCAAGTATTTCGGAGGCTGCTGACGTCAACAGTTGCATTGTCAATTAGTAGGCCGAGAGTAGCTGTGTAGGAAGTAGGCTGGGCGCCGAGCGCCAAGAAGGGAGATAGGGCCTGGACACTCATGTTGGTGGTGGCGAGATGACATTGGTTTTCAGTGTTCGAATCTTCATTGGTGTTCTATTGGTGCATTCCTGTTTTCTGGCCACTGTGATACTATCTGGCCTTCAATGATTGTGCAATCTGATTATTGATTATTGTCATCTCGCTATTACCCATTTTCCTTGCACATACATCTGGATGAATAAACTCTCTGCAGGTCAGTCAGTCTCGTAATCTGTGTTGCTCCCTGCCAGCATCCGCCAGGAAGTTCAAAACTGTAATAAAGGTAAGGTGTGGATAAGACGTGGAACAACCTGGACAGGTTCTGTGTTGTTGGAAGAATTTTGCTTTTTTCTGCAGGTGTGGACGTGTTTCAACTCCTCTCTTTTTTTTTCTTTATTAAAAAAAAAGAAAAAAGAAACAGACAGCCTTGAGATGTGATCATTGAACCGACCGGCCCAGGTAATTGAGAAGTAGTTTATTTTGTTATTCTGACTGCATCTGGAATCGAACTTGAGTCTGTATTTCATCAGTTCATGGGTGTACCAACTGAGCCTGACAGTGCTATCAATTTTATTTTAACACTACAGTGCCGGTGATGGTTGCAGGAAGAGGAGCAGTCAGGAAAGGCAGACATCGGCGGCAGGGTCTAACTTGAAACTTGAAATAGTTTCATAGTTTTGTTCGAGATGGAAGGGATGGAGTTCAACCCAGGGATGATCATGCTTGGAGGATATGCGGCGGCGCATATGGCTCATGGACTCCATGATTTCTTTGATTTTCCAGGCTCCCTGATCCAAGGGTTATTTGGCCCCAAGACATATCGTGGTGCGGTGGAGATGTCACGACCGTACGTTGATGCGAACCTTGCAGCGATCAGGGCGGCGAATCCATCCAAGGAGAAGACTAGCTGGAGGCAGTCTGCTAAGAGTCCTAAGAGGGGTGCACAACAAGCCAAGGATGAAGTCATTCCGGACATCGCACCATAAGTTATTTTTTAGCAACATCCCCCCAAGTTCCGAACATTCCACGCTAACTTATTTTTAGCAACATCACGTCAAGATTGAATAAACAACAGCAGACGGACACAGACGTAGATTTTCCTGCTATGGTGTCAAAGTGCGATGGAAATGTTCCAACCACGGTGGAGACCTTGTTTATTGATTGTTATATGTCGTTGTTATATATTGCTGGTTGCTGCTTGCTGCTTCAGGGAGTGAATGTGTGTAAACCACCAGTCTACTGATGCAACAATTCCACCATTATGACAAACAAGTTGGCTTAAACCACCAGTACTTCACCCATACATAGGCCGCAGCAAAAAAATAGAGCCGAGGTGTTTCCTCTTGAATGAATTTGGACCGGAACCGCCCGGCCAGTGTGGTGCACCGCTCGTATACAGCCGCGACTTTCAGAAGTACTGGTGGTTTAACTGAGGAAGAGCAGCCGCACTTCCTGTCTCTGTCATGACTCATATCACTGATAGGGCACGTTCAAATGGCCACTTCTCGTGTACTTTTTCCATGTGTCTTGAGAGACTACTGATCATATCACAAGTGAATGATGACAAACAAGTTCATTCAACTGTGGAAGCAGAGCCCCACTTCCCGTTTGCACAATGGCTCATGTCGCAAGTCAACTCGATCCAATGGGCAGTTCTCTTGTAGGTTTTCATTGTTATTTTATTCCATCTCATTTTATCTAAATCATGAGTATGATGGACCCTATTTTGTTTAAACCACCACTACCTCTGACCCTGTTTTTACCGACCCTGAGTTTCACTGCGCACCGAGTTTTGCCGAGCCAGGGTTCAATTGTATTTTCTTTTCTGGTACTCACGGCAGTTACATCCTAGGCTACCAGAGTGGGCCGGGGTCACTTGCCCGCCCGGGCCAAAAAAAATTCAAAAAATAAAATATTAAAAAAATATATATGTGAGGATCAGGGTCCTCGGTAGGCCTATGGGGCCCTGTTTACAGCATTGCCCGCCCTAAGTGAAGGCGGAGGTGCCTGCCCTAAGTGAAGGCGGGCCTGACATATCGCAAGAGGCCCTCGACTGTCAATTTTATATTTGGGGTCCAGGCAGTTGCGACGCGCCAGTTGGTTGAGAAAAACTCAGGCCGGGCAACAAAGACATTTCCACGGCCTTCAGGGCTTGTCCAAAGAATGCAGGCCCTGGGCGTGATTCCCAGCCTCATACAGAGACAGTTGGGCGCCCAACCGAAGGAGGCCCAGCAGCCCAGTAACTGCTGTACACAGGCAGCCTCTTGGGGCCTTCCGGAATCTTCTGGGCCCAGGCCAGTGCAGCCAGGCTGCGCGAGCAGGCCAGCTCTTTCCATAAAGGAAAGAGCTCTCCCCTGGCAGCCTCATTCAGGCACTTGCATGCTAGCGGCAGCGCTGCTGGAGCAAGAGCTCGCGGCTGCCGGCTGGCGCTGAGAGGCGAGGTGCAGCACATGTGGTCGTGCAGGGAAGAAGGGCGCTGCTGTGGGCAGTGCCATAGCACAGCCACCATAGCTGGTGGGGCTTGGACTACAGTGAGGCGCAGGGGTGGTCTTCTGGTGTAAGAGAGGACAGGTGTGGGTGTAAAGTCAGGGAAGGGTGAAGGATGATAATGATGATGATGTGAGGGCACTTACCTTGTATTGGCGATGGTCTGCATGGGCGACATCTTCAAGTACTTCGGGTTGCCGCTGATGCCAACAGTTGCATTGTCAATTAGTAGGCTGTAGTAGCTGTGTAGGAGTAGGCTGGGCGCTGAGCGCCAAGCAGGAGAGTGAAGGGACTCGACTCTTGTGTTGGTGTGGAGAGAGTATGCTCTCCTTGACATTGGTTTTCAGTACTACGAACCTCCATTGGTGTATTATTGGTGCAATGCTGCTCTCTGGACATGGTGTGACTATCTGGCTTTCAATGTGATGGTGTAATCTGGAATTGTCATCCCGCTGTTGCTTATTTTCCTTGCATATATATATATATATATATATATA